TCTATAAATGCCCTTTGCCTCCTAGCTCTTTCCTCTATTTCCTTTGACTTTCCTCTTGTCCCACGATCATGCTCAGTCTTCATTTGGATTTCAGTAATTCCTCTACATTACCCTTGATCACGCCCTACCAGGCCTCCTACACCCTCCTCACCACGGACTTGGATCACTTGTTCCTTTGTCCCTGGGTTTGTTAACACCACTACCTTTCCCCTCACCTCCCCCTTTCCCAGGTCCCCCAGGAACTGTCGGTTCCGTTGTTTTCTCCTCTAGATTGTTCATCCTCTAAAACATTTTCTACTTGAGCCCTTGGCATTTGATTTCTTGATGGCTACTTCCGTGAATCAACTTGATGGCACCTAACAGCACCAACACACCCATGAAGATCACAATAAAATGAAAACCTTCAATGTGTTTATTGGGATGTTTGTTGGTCCAGTTGTGAGGATTTTTGTTTTCTTTACATTGAGTTGTAATTCATCCTGAAGGCTATGGTCTTCCATATTCATCAGCAAGTCCTTCAAGTTCTCTTGACTTTCAGCCAGCAAGGTTGTACCATCTGCATATCACAGGTTGTTAATAAGCCTTCCTTCAATCCTGACGCCACACTCTTCTTCACAGACTCCAGCTTCTCTGGTTATATGCTCAGTACACAGATTGAGTAGGTATGATGAAAGGATACAACCCTGCCACATACTTTTTCTGGTTTTAAATCATGCAGTATCCTTTTATTCTGTTCAAACAACTGCCTCTTGACTCATGTACAAGTTCTGCATGAGCACAATGAAGCGTTATGGAATTTCCATTCTTCTCAGGGCTATCCACCGTTTGTTATGATCTACACAGTAGAATGCCTTTGGATAGTCAATACAACACAAACCAACATCTTTCTGGTGTTCCTTGCTTTCAGCCAACATCTATCCAACATCAGCAAGGATCCCTCTCCTTCCGTGTGAGGCATCGTGAGGGGGGGTGCGACTCAGTTTGCTTTGTTGGTTTATAGCATGCTCAAGGAGTCTGGGTGGTACTGCAGGCTAAGTGTCGGTCCGCTGATGGCAAACCCACCAGTCACTCCAAGGGAGAAAGAAGAGACTGTCTACTCCAGTAAAGGTGTACAGCTTTGGACAGCCTACACAGGGTCACTGTGAGTTAGAAGTGACCTGTGGCCGTGGGTTTGGGGTTTACTGCACTGCCTTCTGGCCTGTACTGTCTCTGGGAGGAGCTTGCTTCTCTATATATAATATGTCTTTGTCTTCTGTGTGCTTTTAAGGTGGTTTTTTTTTAATCACTGGTTTTAAGCATTCTGACTGTGATGTGCTTTGGTATACGAGTATGTTTTGGTTTTTTTTACCTTGCATTTTGAGTTTACTGAGCCCCTTTGATATGCAGGTTTCTAGCTTTCTTCACATCTAAGCTGTTTCAGCCATTATGTCATCGAATAATTACTTTCTCTGTATTTAAAAAAATTTTTTTCTCTGTGCTTTTGTTGGAGGATTTCCTTTAAAAATGTATATTAAATTTAGAACAGGCAAAGCATGTATACAATCAGAGATTCAAAACTATATACCAGAGGATCTTTAGCAAAATTTCTCTTCTATCCTTATCCTCTTTACCCCATTTCTACCCATCCCACATAGGACTCAATTTAATTTTGCTTTATCTTTCATGTTTCTTTCTCACTATATGCATCTGTTCTACAACTTGCATTCCAACAATGCCTTACGATCCTAAACATTGTGTGCTCTTGCTGTTTGGTATATTACAAACTGTGAAAAATCAAACTCACATTCTTCCCAAGGCCTGTTATCAGAAAACACGGCCACCCGAAGGATTTCTGAAATGGAAACCTGCCACCTGGCATCCGATTTGCTAGTTGTTGTCACTTTCATAGACAGTGGCCCTTTGTCAGCCGCTGTATTTGGGCAAGCGCGCTGCTCACCGGCACATCTTCTTTCCCTTCGGTAATTTGCAGATTGAAAGGATCCAGAATCCAAGTCTCTGGAATTACTACCAGGCAAAGAAAAAAGCTATGGATGACAAGAATGGCCAAAACAACAACGAGAAGCTCCTCTTCCATGGGACAGATGTAGCCTCATTGCCACATGTCAACCAGCTCGGCTTTAACCGCAGTTACGCTGGAAAGAATGGTAAGAAGTGAGCATTTGAGCGGCTCCCAATGTTGGTCAGCCATGGGCACCCTAGGGCAGAATGAACTGCTTTCTGTTCTTTCGTGGAGGGTGTTAGGCAGTGGGGGCGGGAGGGGTGGCATGTTGCAGCCCGAGCTTCAGGATGGAGTGAGCTGTTTTATGAACTGACTATCCTGCCCTTCTGGGAGGGGTGGGGTGGGGGTTGATAATTGATTTTTTAAACTTTTTTTTTAAAAGGAGGCTTCAAAAAAATAAATAAAAAGGAGGCTTCAACGATCAAAATTAAACATCATTTCAACATGATTTAACATATAGGGCCAACGGATCAAATTTTACACTCCATTGTAATTCTTTTTTTTTCTTTTCTTTTTTCCGTTGTAATTCTTAACACTGTTTTTGCTCTTCTCAGCTGTGGCATTTGGAAAAGGAACTTACTTTGCCGTCAACGCTAACTATTCTGCCAATAACACGTACTCCCGGCCAGACGCAAAGGGGAGGAAGTACATGTATGTCGTGCGGGTGCTGACTGGCCTCTACACAGTTGGAAACGCTTCCTTAATTGTGCCTCCTCCGAAGACCACGCAAGACCCTACTGACCTGTATGACACTGTCACCGATGATGTGAGAAACCCAAGTTTATTTGTGGTCTTCTCAGACTACCAGGCTTACCCAGAGTACCTCATTACTTTCACAACGTGATCCTCTTGCTTCCTTCCCCAAAGACATTTTTCATGTATGCAGACCTGGTTGTCAAACAAGTTTCGGGTGGGTTCCCCCCACCCCCCACCCCCACCCCCACACAGTTGTTTTCGGAGCTCGACGGGCCCTTCTTTGCCACCAAAATGGACTCTTTCAGCTTCCCTGTCATCATCTGGAGGGAACCTACCTTGCAGGGGGCACAGCGGTGGACCTTGAGCTGCTGCTGAGCAGACGGCTCTTAGTGGTCCAACGCTTGGTCATTCATTCATTGCATCTCCTCCACACCTGCCCCAAAGTAGAAACCAGCTGGTCGCCATTCTTGCCTGACTGTTACTTTGCCTCAGATTGAACGAGTTCTGTGACTGGGAACGTCATGCACGAATCAGCCTGTAACATGCAGGGCAGCACATCAGGACCCTGGGATTGCAGGGAAGTGTGTCCTCCCACCTCCAGGGGCTGGGACTTGGCCCGTGATCCACAGACAGCACATCAGGACCCTGGGATTGCAGGGAAGTGTGTCCTCCCACCTCCAGGGGCTGGGACTTGGCCCGTGATCCACAGAAGTGTGTCCCGTGGAGCCATGCAGTGCAGCAGCCCTGGTGTCAGTGCCCAAGGTCCTTTATAAGGCTGACCCAAATCTGCCTGGTTAGCATTTCCACACGCTGGTCTGTTCTGCCCAGTGCAACCAAGGAGACCATGCCTGCATCTTCTGTGTGAAATCCTCTACTTTTAAAATATTAAATGATTTACCAAGGTTGTTACACACTGTGTTTTCCTCATTAGCCTAACTTTTCATGATTTTAGAGCACTTCGGATAAATGAGCCAAGGGAATTAAGTGGTCTGTTAATAATTTGTTAACTCGGTTTTCATCGAATGGTAAAGGCATGTTTTTAAGTTTTAAAATAACTTTTGATTTTGAGTAAATTTTAGATTCAAACATGGTTGACCGAGCAGGCTGGTTTTCTCAGGTAGTGTAATAGGTCCTGTAGTCTAGTGCCTCACTTTTATGTGGCTTTTCTGCCATCTTTTTGTAACTTCTGTAAAATGATTGCCTGGGCCACCATCTTGTAAGAGATTAGTCAGTTAGCTTTGCAAATAGTGGCTTAATAATTCACGATCCCCTCCAGGTCAGCTAGGGGATGTATCAGTTTTGACATCCTAGTAGGCATGAATATAAGGGCCAATTCCAGAGACTCAGGGAGACCTCACCAACAGCAAGAAGAGTCTGGAGTGGAGCATGTCCTTTGGACCTGGGGTCCCTGTGATGAGAACCAATTTTATCCAGGGGAGAGAGATTGGTATCACTGAAGCCCACAAAGATTAACTTACTCGCCCAGAGAGAGAGTGGGCTTCTCTCTCTCGCTCTCTCACACACACACAGGAAAGAGAGAGAGAGAGGAGAAATGCAGAGAGATCAAGAGCTAGTGCTAGCCAGTGATTGCCTCTGGGAGGGAGACTTGTCTGTGTAGCTAAAGACGTGTAGCACTTGTCTGAACAAGGCAAAGGCTTCAGGTACCCCATGCAAGGATTAAAGGCAGAGGCTCGTACAAAGGCCTTCCTACCACAGGGGGGAACTGAGTACCTCCAAGTTTGCAGGTTGACAGCGAGCTAAAGTGCTACCCCCCACCCTGCTATGATGGGAACCATTTGGGCCCTTGGGCAGTGTGGTTTCAGGTAGCAAATGAGAACCATGCAGGCCAGGGTAGTGTGATAAGGGATAGCCACAGAGGCCTATTCAGAGTTCCCCATGTGCACCCCTGGCCATAGAGTAGTAGTGGCCTGAGTGTAGCCCAATAGCCTAAGACTGTACATGGGTGATTTGGGGAAGGGGGAGTGCTCCCCTTTGAGAATCTCTTGTTCTTACTGCTCACTTTCTATACGCCGTGTGTCTCATGTGTCTAGCTTGATCAAGATGAACCGAACACCCACAGGATGATGGTTATGCGTCTCGTTCTGGGTATCCAATGGATGCTGGAAGTTGGAGGAACAGCCTGTCTGCAATGTAGACAGCTTGCACCGCAGCTTGGATATTCTTTTAGTCCCCTGAACAATCACATTAGGTTAACAATTATAACTCCATTTCAGGGTTGAGGAAACCGATGCTCAGCGGTAAAGCCTGAGGTCATCTAAGAAGTTCTCAGACCCACAGCACGGTGGTCCCTGTGGCCTCAGCTTCCCACCGAGGCACATGCCCTCTCCATTAAGGTGACCAACTCAGGGACATGGCAGTCAACCTAGGAATGACTCAGTTTCCTGTTCCCTTTCCTCTCGGTTTGGTTTCCATTATAGCCTCTTTACTGAAGCTATGCCACGGAGGGACCAGAGCTGATGCCCCCAGCGAGCAGGGGGCCGGGGTGTGCAGATGACAAGCTCCGCGACCCAGGGTGGCTTGGAGGACAGCTGCTCCTCCCTGGCTGCTGGAGACAACGTGGGGCCCTTCAAGTGGAGGGTGTTGAGGGAGCCACAGTTACTGCTTCATTTGCAAGGATTTGAGGAAATTTCTCTCATTGCAATTTGCTGTTTAAATGGATTGGCAAAGACGCCTTATGGCTTCAGAGTGACTTTCTGGCCACTTGTGGGAAATAGAAGGATGTCTCCCAAGTTGTCTCCCCCAAATATATACCAAACTTAGCTCCTTGCAAATGGCTATATACTTGGAGGTCATCAGAAGTAGATCAGGGGTCATTCTCCCTAAGAGCTATCAGCCATCTAGAGCAAGCAGTCACCACTGTTTATCCCACAACAAGTAGAGTCCAGCACTGACAATAGATGCCAGAAATTAGAACTGACACAAATAGAGAGACTTGCTCTCTAACGTGTTTGTGTTCCCAGAGGTTTTTAACTGGGATCAGGGCATGGCTGACTATCAGCTCTGTGCTAAGTGTGCCATCGAGTTGATGCCAACTCATAGTGACCCTCTAGGGCAGGTAGAACTGCCCCTGTGGGTTTCTGAGATGAACTGGAACCCTCGCCTTCTCTTGCAGAGTGGCTGGTGGCTTTGAACTGCTGACCTTGTGGTTAGCAGCCTAATGCGTAACCCACTACCCACTAGGGCTCCTTACTCCCCCCTCCAAAACTGGAAGAAAAGGACCTATTGGATGAAGGATAATAGTCATCATTACTCTAATGAAATAGGTAGTTTTCTTCCGATGTGGAAGAAAACATCTGAGAAATGTCATTTAGTGGTAAGATTTTTATCCTAGAAGGCAAAATCAGGGGAGCTTGATGGTGACCACAGGCCACAACTAGACATGACATTAAGGGACACTCAGAGTATGAACAGTATCCAGGTGACAAGAGGTTTAGTTTTGTTAAAACTGAAGGGCAAGTTGACTTCTACTAAAGCAAGCTCACGTTGCACCTTTGATGGCGATTGGTGGCCCATGAAGGGGCAGGGACTCTCACTTGAACTGCCTGTTGATTTGGGAGACCAGAGGCAGTTGCTGGGACAGCAACTGCTCCACAGGAGTGACGTTCCATAGCTCTAGGGCGATGCCCCTGAATCTGCACTTTCAACAAGAGCCTCAAGTGAGTCTGCTGTCTCTGAGATCCAGAAACCACGGTAGGACTCCCATGGGCTCTAGGCACTTTTGTGGCCCACTTCCACTGTAAAGTATACAAATACATATCTTTCTATCTTGCAGCTGTGCAGTTACAAATATGAATGTTGAGTCTCGATTATATTTTTCTGATTCAAAAAGTGACTAGAGATGTTTGCAGACATTATGCGAAATGAAGTCAGTCACAAAAGAGATAATGCATAATCTCATTTATACACAATATCCAGAATCCCTACATGCATCAAGACCCAAGGTTTCTAGTGGTTATTAATAGATGGCAAAAGGGAGGGCATGTCACTGTCTGGGGGAGGCTGAGTGTTTCCTGAGAGGGACAGGAAATGCTGGAAGTGATAATGGTGACTTACACAACAGGATAAATGGAATTGCTGTAACTGAGTTGTACGTGGGGAAAATGCGGACATGTAAATACTGTTTTTCAATATGAGGGGGGCTTCAAATGAAAAGTTGGTGGGAAAATTCCATTATCTTTCAATTCCATTTACAACAGATTTTTTTAAAACCCTCTTGTATATATTTGTATTAAAAAAAAGATACAAAAATGACAAAGGAGGAGGCGTCCTGTTTGACCACCCACTTTTTCTTGCTTGCTGCCCAGCTTTGGAGAACGGGTCACCAGGTATCAGAATGAGATCATGTTGTGTGTGTGTGTATGTGTGTGTGTGGGGGAGATCAGATGCGCAGGCATCTCTCCCCTGAGGGCGATCAGTTGCCAGACTGCACTGGCCTGCTCCCTGCTGCTGGGGACAATGGACAGGCTCCTGTGGGCGGAGTTCGCATCCTATTGATAATGGTCTCTATCAGTTGGGCCAGGAACAGGCCAAACCGGCTCTGTGACATCTGAAGTTAGGCTGCCATCCTGAATCTGGGATCCGCCCATCTTGTCACATGTATACCCCAATCCCTCCTCTTCCTATTGCGTGTATGTCCCTAGACCACCCCTCCCTGTGACATGTCTCTACCTGTAATTAGTGGGCTGGCATGCCCCCAAAAGGTATATAGGCGTGGGTCAGCAATGTGAGCTCTCTGACCTCTCTCTCCCTGGTGGCTCCCCTCTCTTCCCCCATCCTCTCTCCCTTGTTCCCTTGTCCTCCTTCTCCTCCCCCTCTCTCCACATGGACCACCAAGCTGGACTGAGGTGAGCAATGCTACCATGTAATGTCTCTGACTGCATTATTTAAATATCTCTCCTCCACCTCTCATGCTCTCGATGACTTTAATATAATACTTATATATCTCAACCGTACAATTGTGCTTACTGAACCCGTGGGTAGTATTAGTAGCAGCGGGTGGGGGCTGGCTCCCTCACCCTCCACATTTAACTTAATACTACAATGTTGGATCAAGGGTAGAGGCCATCCAGTGGACGGACTCATTAGGCTAGGGTTGGCAAACGGAACATTTTCTGCTTTGCAGTCTCTGCCACTACTCACACTGCAACCCTAAGGCAGCCACAGACAATCTGTAAATAAGGGGTGTGTGTGGCTGTGTCCCACACAATTTTTATTTAGAGACAGGCAGCAGGTGAGCCGGTAGGCCAGTTTGCTGGCCTGGCTTAAGCTGATGGAGATCAGAGTCTACGAGTGAGATTGATTGACAGAACAGGATGGAGGAGGAAGCAATGAACAGAGGCACCGAGGAGAGATGTCCTACAAATGACAAGAGGCCAGTGTGCACCGAGGAGATGTCCTACAAATGACAAGAGGCCAGTGTGCATGGCCAGTCTGCAGCGCACAGGGAGGTGGTGGCAAGAGACTTCGTTTGGCAAAGAACCAGTGAGAACCATTTACAGGCATGTGCAACTCACCTTTGTTGGCACCAGCTTCTATTTCTGTGTTTCCCAAAGTGGGTACCATGCCCCCCAGGGGGGCAAACAACCTATGTGGGGAAGGGGCCTACAAAAGCAGATGCTACACTTTATCCGGGATTATGGGTCCTAGGCCAAACGTTTTTAAGTGCTTGGTGGCGGGGAGGAGTGCAATGAGTTGTTTTGTTTGTTTTTATTTCTTCTGAAAAAGGGAGGGAGGTCAAATAAGTTTGGGAACGGATATCATTTATTTAAGAATTATACTATGTTAAAGTATTTAACAACCTTATCTTCTATTTGAATCACAAAGTTCTTCCTTGTATCAAAAGTTGAGCCACTAGCCTGGTTACCTGTGGGTTCACCAGGCAGTCCAGCAAGTCGTCTGTGGAAATGATCGATGAAGGGGCCGCAGGGCGATTTGAAGCAGCCTGTTCCGCAATCGCATGCTGGTCTGTACACATGGTCCGCTGCCGCTTGGTACCCTGTGATTGCCCTGAGTAGTCGCCATCTCTGGGGACAAAGTCTTTCCTGTCCATTTCAAACATGTCTCCTCTTGCCCTGGATGGCTCTTCAGCACTTGGTGTTACAGGAACCAGATTGGGCCCAAACAGACTTGCTGTGCTCTGCTCTGCAGCTCCCACGGGTAAGTGCTGGCTGGGTGGCTGTCCCACGTCCACGGAGGGCTGCACATCCAACGTTCCTCTGTTGGCGCAGTCTCCATTTGTTGCTGATGCCTGCGCTGCATCTCCCTCGGATGTTCTGTAATGATCAAAGAGGGCCGAAACGGCTCCATTTAAGTAGCGACAGTTGATTTCATGGGATATGTCCTCAACCTAAGGAACAAGGAGGAGGGTGGTGGAGAATGGTCACATGCACTTGGTTAACTTGGAAAGCAGATGTTTTCGTCGGGAAGGCTAGCTGCCATGCTGGTGTGGCCTACCTCCGTGGGGTTCAACCAGGTTTTGGTGTTGTCAGGATCCTCCGCGGTTTTCAGCGCGCAGACAAGCACCCGTGTGATGGCCTCTTCGACCCGGGCTTGGTGGTCCTCTTCCTACATCGACACCAACACACGTTCAGTCTCAGGGCTTCAAACAAAATGCAACAACAGAACCCTATGGTTGTGAGTCGATTCCGACTCACAGCAACCCCAAGGACCCCAGGGTAGAGCTGCGCTCCACCGCGTCTCCGGGCACTCGTCTTAAGCGAGCAAGCTGCTAGGCCCTTCTTCCACCGTGCTGCTGGGGGATTCAAACAGCCAACCTTGGGCTGAGAGCCTAGAGCAAACCATCTGCATAACACAGGGGCCAGAAACAGAGGAGAGGCTCTCTAAATTGTATCTTCTGGTTTTTCATTAATGAAAGCTTTATTGCAGAAAAGATGGATATCCTATTGGGAGAAACACATTTTTATGTATGCCTTATCACTGCCATCTTGGAAAATACGGGCTTGGTAATGGAAACAAAACTAGAGATTCCATGATAGAATCTGTCAAGACCAACGACTTCTTCAACATACCTTTTTTTCAACAAAGAAAAGGGAACTATAGTCATGTACTTCCCCAGATGAAATGCACAGAAATCCATTGGACTATATCTGTGGGAAGACACGATGGAGAAGCTCAATCAGCAGCAGCTAAAACCAGGCTAGGGGCTGACTGAGGAACAGATCAGCAATTGCTCATATGTAGGTTCAGCTGAAGAAAAGTAAGTCCACAGGAGCCAAAATTCTACCTTGAGTCTAACCTACCTGAATGCTGAGAACATCTCAAGAAGAGATTTGACACACTGAACACTAATGACAGCAGACCTGATGAGCTGTCGGAAGACATCAAGACCAGCATTCATGAAGAAAGCAAAAGGTCATTAAAAAAAAAGGGAAGAAATAAAAGATCAAGGTGGATGTCAGAAGAGACTCAGAAACTTGCTCTTGATTGTAGAGTAGCAAAGCAAGTGGAACAAAGAATGAAGTCAAGGAGATGAATGGAAAACTTCAAAGGGCAGCTTGAGAAGACAAAGATAAATTAACAAAATTGCAAGGACTTAGAATCAGAAAAACAAAATGGAAGAGCACGCTCAGCCAATGTGAAATGGAAAGAATTCAAGGAGAAATTCAATCCTTGAATTCCAATTTTGAAAGCTTATAGAGGCAAAATATTGAATGCTGCAGACAGCATCAAGAGACGATGGAAAGAATACACTGATGTGCTGTAACAAAAAGGACCAGTTGAGCAAGAACCAATGGTGCTGAAGGAAGGAGTTCAAGTGTTACTGAAAGCAGCAGCCACAAACAAGGGTCCAGAACTGATGGACTACCAAGGGAACTGCTTCAACAAGCTGAGGAAACACTGGCAGCACTCACTCGTCTATGCCGGGAAATTTGGAAGGCAGCTAGCTGGCAAAATGACTGGAAGAGATATTTGTATCCATTCCAAAGAAAGGTGGCCCACAGAATGCTCAAATTATAGAACGATATCATTACTATAATATGGAAGCAAAATTTTGCTGAAGATCATCCAACAACAGTTGTAGTAGTACATTGACAGGGAGCTGCCAGAAGTCCAGGCCGGATTCGAGAGAGAACATCAAGAGCAAGAGATATCACTGTGATGTCAGAAGGAATCTTGGCGGAAAGCAGAGATGTGTACTTGTGTTCTACTAACTATGCAAAGGCAGCACATTGTGTGGACCCTAACAAACTATGGATTAGCTTGAGAAGAATGGGACTTCCAGAACCATTCGTTGTATTCCTGCAGAACTTCTACACAGCAATTGGGCCAACAGAACAGGGGCATACTGCATGGGGTGGAGACCGTCTGGTCAATGGGCTGAATAAGGCTGGTGAAATCACCAATACTAACAGGGCACAGCTCACCAAAGAAAAGCAGTTCCAGCCCTCAGATTAGGGGTGAGTTACCCGATTGACCCGTATTTGATTTGTGAATGATGTTATAAAGTGCACAGTGGCCCTGGGCAGGAAAAGGGTTTCCCACCCCTTTTGCAATTAGGTAATTGCCAAGTCCCTCTCATTACCCAATGCTAGGTGCACCTTGGTCGAGGGGAAGATGTATAAGCCCTCTTGACTTCTTCCAGGCTCAAAACTTCTAGATCCTTTAGCTTTATTTTTTACATGACTTTCTCCTTCAGACTCGTCATCATTCCAAACATCGACTTTGAAATTGGAGAGACTTGAGTTACAGGTCTCCATCTTTTTTAGCTGGGTACCTAGTGGTTACGTCAACTCAAGGATGTGGGCTGAAGAGAGCACACTGATGGCTGAAGACTTCCGGGTAGAGAGCCCAGGTGCAATTCAGGTCTTGGGTTTAAAGGACAGCAGCAACAGGCAGCCATTTTACCGATCACATGTGCAGGCAACTAGGGCTCAGCACGGGAGAGTGCCAAAGCCTGGCACAGAAAGACTCTGCTTGGAGCATGTGTATAAGCAAAGACCTAGCACTTGTCACTAGTCAAGAGGACCCTGCGCGAAGAAGCAAGAGACTCCAGCAGAGAAGGCATGGGGTGGGGCTGGCAACAGGGGACACACAGGACAGATCCAGCGCACCACAGTGTTAGCAACAGCGGTCAAGGGATACGACCCTGTATGCCCACACCAGGGCACACCGGGCTCCCTGACAAGAGCAGAGCGCATCAGTAAGGATCCTAGTTACAATCAAACGCCCATCAGCAGAGGATAGAACTCACAAGTTACAGCACAGCAAACAAATACTGGAGTGTTGATGGAAAAACATCAATCACCAAGCCACTCAGAGAGTGTTTGCACAGCTTTAAAAAAACAGACAGGGGTTACATTTATCACCAAAAAGAAACAGGTACCAGTTCAATCCATGAGTTTATACTGACAGTGACAGGGTCAATGGATTCCACATAGTGCCACCAGTGTCGGGGGACAAACAGCACCTGAAACCAAACAGGCATGGCTAGTACAAGAACAGACTTCTTAATTTGTAGTTCAAAATGTACACACGACAGCATTTGTTAATTCAACAACTTTTACACGCATTATTCACGGACGCTGGCTATATTCTTGCTATTGCACTATTATCACCATCCTTTTCCAAATTATCCTACTGCCCTTGGCAGGACCTGGAGCTGTGCTGGTTGGGGGCAGTGCTGACTGAACAACTGTCTCCTGAGTCTTATCATGTAGCTTCCACATTGATCCTAATCCTGAGTTGTATTGTGAGTGGCCTTGCAAAGCTGGGGAGTGCCTTGGGGGGGTGGGGGGGGGGAAGGGGCGACCAGGACAAGGGAGAGACGGGAATGAGACAGGCAGTGGGGTGGGGAAATCAAGGGGCAGGCAGTCTCTTCAAGAGGAGCCTGAGACACTTTCCCACTGTCCATGTTTTAGAGGAAGTCGTCCTCACTGGGCAACAGCACCATACAGAATGGGCGTGGGAATGTTTCAAAGACAGCCATTTGAAAAACAAAATTCATTCTTGCCTAAATGCAAATCATTCTCGGTTGGTCCTCTCCGTTGGCCCCCCCACCCAGATGAAGTCCTTGGCGGAACTCCGGCAGGGAGTCCCGGGGTCGGAACCAGGGAAGGAAAGGGCCGGCTGGTGCAGGCGGGTCCTCTGCCCCCGCCAGGGGGCGCTGCGCGCTCGCTCGGCCGGCGGGCGGCGCGCGGGTCTGAGGCCCGCAGCGGGCGCTCCCTTCCCCCGTGGCGGCGGCGCGGGCTGCGGGGAGTCATTACCTGTCCTGGGCCCAGTGTCACCGTGTGTCTCCGAGCTTCCCGGAAGCGCGGGAAACGTGTCAGGTCGGGATGGACCACAGCGACCTTGCTGAACACACTGGACTCTTCGTAAGGGATTCTCGTGGGGTAAAGGAAGGGAGTGTCTTCAGGGGGAAAGAGGTGCCACCGCTTCCTGGGGCGGAAAAGAAGACTCCAGTGAGGGGCGTTAAACACGACGCCTAAGCAGGCGGCCCCTCGGCGTCCATTTTCACCCTCGGGGCCCACAGGGGGTGCAGAGATGGGGGGCAGGGGGAATCGATCCAAGGATCAATTAGAACCCCCTCCCAGGGGGACGAACAACGGAAAAGTAGGTGAGGGGCGATGGAGGGCGATGTAAGATATGTAAAAAATAATCTATACCTTATCAAGGGTTCGTGAGGGAGGATGGGGAGAGGGAGGGGGAAGAAATGGGGAGCAGATATCGGGCTCACGTGGGAAGAGTGCTTTGAAAATGGCGGCATATGTGCAAATGTGCTTGCCACACTGGGTGAATGTATGGATTGTGGTAAGAGATGTAAGAGCCCTCAACAGAAGTATTTAATAATTATAAATAAATAAATAAATAAATAAATGCAATCCACAGTGGTACACGGCGGGCAGCCCTGGTCCTGTCTCTCAGCGCTGCAGTGCCCTCTACAGGCACCTGGTGGAAGGGGGTGTGGCAACCAGCAGGCCTGTCTCTGGCAGCCTCTCAATGATAAGACCAGCCTTTTAATTTCAAATCAAACTCCCCTTCCCCATAAACTGTCCATCGCCACTCTAGCGTGCCCGCAGTAACCCACACCACTTCAAATATCTGTTGTCTTTTCGTCTCCGAGCAACCCTCCATCTTTCAGTCACCAAACCATTGCCAGAGTTCTCTGGGTTATAAAGTCCTTAAATATCTAAGCTTATCTACTGGAGAAAAGCCACGCACAAGCAAGTTTCACAACTAAAAAGCAACAGGATATAGAAAAAAGCACAAAGAGAATACTGAAAGGTCCTTAAAAAACCCAAATCCTACGGTCATGGAATCCATTTTGACTCACAGCAATCCTGAGGTTGCCAATCTTTACAGAAGCGACTGACCCATCTTTCTCTGGAGGAGTAACTCATGGGCTTGAACCTCATGGTTACCAGGCTGAACCACCAGGGGTGCTGAAATGGTCTAGTCAGTTAACTTTGTTGTGGTTTAACTAGAGGTAACTGAGCGCAAGTCACAAAACACTAGACACACTTCAAGGCCCTGCTGTTGTGTGGCCTTAGTCAACCCTGGCTCCCAGTGACCCTGCAGCACCCAGAACTGTCTCCTAGGGTTTCCTGCACTGTGCTTTACAAAGGAGACAGACAAGTTCTTGTTGGAAATATACCCAGTAAAGTTACAGCAACAAAACCATTTCTCTAAGTACAATTCAGTCTGGGAGCAGACAGCCTCATCTTTTCCCACGGAGCGGCTCGTAGGTTTGAACAGCCAGTTTTTCAGTCAGCAGTCCAAGCTTATCCAGAGAACCCTTAGGAGGGAGAAGTGTGAGACAGTAAACAAGAGAAAGACACTAACAGAGACACACAGCCAGAAACAGGGAAGAAGAGAGAAGTAACTGTGTTTTAAGAAAATCCTCAAACCCGCTCGTGACCCCTGGCAGTCATATCGGGGCTACCATTTCCTTTCGGAAATGAGAAGCTGCTGCGATTTTCAAACTAAGGAGTAGACACTAATGTTTTGCCCTGGGAATTGGAGATGCTGTAGGATGGCTTTTCCTTTGCAGAGGTTCACCTGGAAACTCAGGCAGGCAGCCTGTCCGTGGGTGGTGCTGGGGGTAAGCGTCTGTGAAGATTTGCAGAGCCCGGGGAACTCCGCACTGGGTCTCCAGGAGCCTGGGTGGCCTCGATGGCAGTGGGTCTAGCGTTGAGGTGGGTATCGGCTCAAAACGTCAGCGACTCAAAGCTCTTTGCCTCACTTTGCAGCTTGAAGCACGGAGTTGCTTCCCACTGTTCCTGAGACTGGTTTGGAAGCAGTTTCGGGATTGGTGTGATGAAATTAAGACCAGGGCAGTTTCTCATAACACTGCTTATTTGCAGAGTGAAATTCACCATGATCATTATTGTCAGATAACGTATCCAGTAAATCTGTGTACAAGACCTCTAGAGTATTGAAGAGCCAGCATGCCACTCTGAGGACTGAGGTGGGCCTAACTCAAGCCATGCTTCTCTCCACTGAATCCGGAAGACGGTAGAAGAATAGATGCACTGGAATTGCGGTGCTGGAGAAGAATATTCAAAGTACCATGGACTGCTGAAAGGGCAAATGGATCTGTATTGGAAGAAGTAAGGCCAGAGTGCTCCTTAGAGGCAAGGATGGCAAGACAGGAGAGACCAGTCGCTGGAGAAGGACATCGTGTCTGGTAAAGCGGAAGGACGGTGAAAAAGAAGGCCCTCCCTGAGATGGATTGATGCAGTGGCTGCATCAATGGGCTTGGCGGGCACAGCACAAGAACAATTGTTGAAGATGGTGCAGGACCGTGCAGCCTTCGTTCTGATGGGCCTCCAGTTACTGTGGGTTGGAGCGGACTCGATGGCACTCAACAACGACAACATCATTGTCTTGAGGTACACATTTTCCTAGTCCGCCTCCCCAAATACGGAGATTCACAGATTGCTTAGAATCTTGTTGGAGCGAAAGGACTCTTAGGGACTGATTATCAGTCTAGTCTCATCTCCAAAGTGGGAGAGGCAGCCAGAGCTTGCTCAGTGTCACAGACAGGGCTAGCAGGTAGTGGTGGAGCCAGAACCAGGCCTCGTATCTCTGGATCCAAGCTCCTGCCTCTGGATCACAGCTGTGTTTTCCGAAGGAACAGCTACCAGATTAACGGTTCCGTAGAATCGGCTTGGCTTAAAATATCACCTACACGTTTCCCACTTCTGCTCAGCAGAACAGGCAGTCCATCAGCATGTCACCCCCTGACCCTCAGTCTTGGGCTCAAAGCCCCCAGACTCAGGCTCCAACCAGCCCATCCAACCCAAGCCCTTTGATTTCAATGCACAACGCACAGGGCCATGCTTGTGCTGGGCCCTGCAGCCCTCCCTCTGTCTTGGGACTGCTCAGCTAGCCCTGAAGCCCATGACCATCGCAGTCCCTCTGTAAGAACTTCCCTCGTCTTCCCAACGGAACACCATCTCATCATGTTCTTAGTTCCACAACTGTGAACGCTTCCTTAAGAGCGGGACACTGCGTTAGAGCACAGTTACCTGTGGGCTTGCCTGAGCTCTCACTGTAAACTCTCAAAGGGCAGAGTGGGCACCCTGCTCATGTAGCTGTTCTAACACCGGGGACCTGCCTTGTAGAGAACTCAATATTATAATTCCACAGCTGGATGAGCCCATAAAGTATGCTCGGCTGCAAAGTTGACATGAAGCTCCATTAATCTTCTATCCCAGCAAAAACTCTGGCTTTTTCGTTTGGGCAATAGTTTGCAACCTCAAATTTCTTAGGCTTCTTTCCCAATTTAGAAGCCAGAGAAAATGGCTACTGAAAACAATTCCCTCTCTTACCAAGCTTAGGGCAAGACTTTGAAAGCAATTTATTCCCTTCAACTCCCTACTGAGAGTCTGACTCTCCACCCTTGACATACAGAATTGGAATCTATACTGAGGATTTGCTTACAGGTAGTATATCTGGGATGAAGATGGAAATTCTCAGCAAGGGAATGAACTGGAAGGAAGTGAGGCGAAGCCCTGGTTTTAGGTTCAGACTCCACAAGGCAGGGACCACACCCACAGCACAGAGTCATGGGCCTGGTGTTACAGGGCCCTTAGTGAAGTCCCAATGGATTACAGAGAAGACTACCTCGTATCATCTTAGAGCAGTGGTTCTCAACCTTCCTAATGCTGTGACCCTTTAATACAGTTCCCCATGTTGTAGTGACCCCCCCAACCATAAAATTATTTTTGTTGCTATTTTATAACTGTAATTTTAATACTGCTATGAATTGGGTGACCCCTGTGAAAGGGTTGTTCGACCCCCAAAAGGGTTGCATGACGACCCACAGGTTGAGAACCGGTTTTAGTTTGTAGGTTCTAATCATGTGAAATATATCCATGTACTTATTGGCTGCTTCTCTCAGACCTACTTACAATCCTTTCCATTTCTAAAGGGTTGGAGAGACTGTCTGTGGTCATTTCTGATCTCTGTCTGCTGCCCAGTAAATGTGCTCAGGGCCGGAGAGGAGACTGGTTACGAGGGGGAAAGATGGTAGCTACCACAGCAACACGCTTGTATCTTCCTTGTGGCCTAAACGCCCTCTCCCATAACACCTGCACCCAGGGATGGTCAAGGTACTGCTTGACCCAGGCCTTCTATTTCTTAGGTTGTACGACAGATGCATGGGGTCCCCTGGCAGGCACAAACTTTTGAATGGCCTTTTGTCTGGCTGATGATATTGAGCTTCTCCATCATCCCTCCCACAGAAGTAGTCCATTTGATCTCCGTGTCTTCCCTTTGGAGAAGTCCACATGCACAGTTGCTGTTTGTGTTATTGAGAAAGGTATGTGCTCTGAAGAAGTCGTTGCCAAGTCCCATCATGCAATCTCCAGCATCAGCAAGACTGCATTCCCACTTCCTGCTCCCTCCTCTTTGTTCCCGACGATCGCATTCCAATGCCAATAATTATCAATGTATCTTGAGTGCATGTTTGATCAGTTTTAGACTGGAGATGTTGGTAGAATGCTTCCATTTCTGTATCATTAGCTTTAGTGGTTGGTGCATAAGTTTGAATATAACAGTTGTATTGATTGGATTTCCTTGAATGTGGATAAATATAATCCTATCACAGGCAACATCATATTTCAAGATAGATCTTGAAATGTCCTTTTTGATACTGAATGCAACACCATTCCTCCTGATTATGTCATTCCCAGCATAGTAAGCCATGACTGTCTGATTCACAATGGACAATTCCAGTTCATTTCAGTTCAGTAATGCCTAGAATATCGATCTTTATGTATTCCATTTCATTTCTGATCACTTCCAATTTTTCTAGGTTCATACTTCGTACACTAGAACCCCAGACCTCGACACTAATCTGTTCCAGAAGGCGCGTCGAGATGTGATGCAGTCGAGTTCCGAAGCAACTTTTCCCATAATAACTGAAAATGGATTAGTCCGCTCTCAACCACCAAGTTTGTACCCCAATCTTGCCATTTTATACAAAACATTACATAGAAATTTCAAAGTGAATGAGTTCAGAGTTAAATAATGTAATTTAAATAAGAAACACAACATTAAAAAGTTTTTTAACAACTACAGCATGGCCCATACCTTGAGACTGATGAGGATCTGGATCTGTGGACACATGTGGCGAGGAGGGATGGAGAGAGAGTCATTGTTTGGAAAGGGAATCCCCCTCCATAAAAATCAACTGGGAGATGCTGTTCAGGAGTTTTTTCCCCCTTCTTTGCCTTTTTTCACTAGGACCTAGCTGGCTTTCTCTAAAAAAAAAAACAACTCTTTCCAATGTGGTCTGCTATTGGCGTTTCCTTAACTGTTTTCTAAAAGGGCTTACTAAATTGTCATCGACAATATCGATAACCGGTTAACCAGCTCCTTATCATGATGATTCTTTTCCAAAAACTCTTTCTCAGGACCCATTTTTTAAATATAAAAACAGTACAAAAACTAAGAAAATTATAGCAAAATGCGTGGAACAGCCACAAAAGGTTTAAACAACGCGTACTAACACCAACACCCAGTGACCGAAACACGAATTGCTTTTGTTTACAATCACGTGTATCGGGTCAGATTCCGATGTTTTGTTCAAGCGCCGATACAAGATTTTCTCCACATTTTGTGTTGAAATCTGATCATGCTGAGTACTGATGTGCCGAGTACCGGGGTTCTCCTATATTCTCTACGTTCCAATTATGAGTAGATTTCTGCAGCTGTATCCTCTCATTTTGAGTCGTGCCACGTCAGCAAATGAAGGTCCTGAAGGCTTTACTCCCGCAGGCTTTTCTCCATCCACATCTTTATGGCTGACTCCACTTTGAGAAGGCAGCTCTTCCTCAGTCAGATGCTGGGCTCAACTTCTGGCACCATCTCTGACGAAGTTCGCTTCTGCTCACCAGGACTCCCGTATCTGACGATGTTGTGATGGTAGGCCTAAGGTGGTCAGTGGTCAGTTCCTCAGAAGTACCCAGCCTAGTCCTTCTTCATGGCCTCTCCTTAGTCTGGCAGCTCTGCTGAGCCTGTTCAATGTAGTGACCCTGCTCACGTTTGAAATGAGTGACATGGCTTTCAGCATCACAGTGACACACAGCCGCCATGGTACAACAAACTGACAGCCAAGGGGTGGGGCGGGACGAAACCTGCCCCCTGTTCAGCACTCATCCCTCTACCACAAGCCACACACACACACACACACACACACAGACACACACACAACCCTTACCTTCCTTGTACTTGAAGAACTAAGTTACACCCATAGGAGTCCAGATGACAGGGTGTGTGAGCCCCCAGGGAGCCAATCCACAATGTGCTTTCCCGTCCAGTTCTTCCAGGAAACCCAAAGTCAGCCCACATCACATCCTGTTTGACAAGAAAGACGCAGCCGTCACGGCCCAGCCCACTCCCCTGAACGGCACTCTCGTGCACGTCCACTCGCATACTGATTTTTGGTGCCTGGGGTATTATTTTGTAGAAAATGTTCTAGAGCTGCAGGAGATTAGATATCCAAGCTCCAACCCCAAGAAATCTTTTTGAATAACATCTGAATTATCTCACTCTTAGTGGCCATTCAACAACTGCATACCTGAGTAGAACTCAATGTGCCAGGTGCTGTTCTAGAAGCTGGGATCCATCGTGAACAGGGCAGGCACAGAAGCAGGCCTGCTGACATCACCTTTCAGCCGCAGGAGAGTGAAAGGCACATTCAACATAACTGTGGAGCTCTCAGGGGGAGTGTGTTTCCAATGGCGGCAGTGGAAACAGGACTTCAAAAACACATCTATTTCATGGCTTTGTCTTTTAATGCCTAAAGGTATCTAGCAGCTCAACTTAGAAAGTCAGAAAAGTCATTGTCCCTGTGAGCAGTGCAGATCTCCCTGGGCATACGTGACTTACTAACTTTTACACCCCGACAACGACATAAAAGATGCCTCCCCTACTTTGGTGGCATCATTTAAAATGATCGGTGTCAGAGCCTTAGTGCAGCCTGGCGGAAGCAGAACCGCCCGGTGTTCTGAACTCCAGGCCCGTGGATAATGCTCCCGGAAGTGACGGCAGCACAGCGCTGCAGACTTGGACCCTCTGTGTGGTGGCTCTGAGGGACACATCATGCCCAGGGCACCGACAGGAACGATCTGAGTTGTCGAAGTCAATAGTGCCACTGACAGCACAGGGAAAGAGGGCAGGCATGACCTCAAATGTCTCCATGCTAGCACGGAAACCACCGCCGAGTGAGCCAGGTATGGATGTTTTAGCTTTTTTATTGTTAATTATGAAGTTTTCCACTGGTATTTTTTTAAAAATTTTTTTCCCCAAGATCCATCTTATTCTTTTCTTTTCTTTTTTTTTTAACATTTTATTAGGGGCTCATACAACTGTTATCCCAATCCATACACACATCAATTGTGTAAAGGGCATTTGTACATCGTTTCTCAAAACATTTTCTCTCCATTTAAACCCCCGACATTAGGTCCTCATTTTTCCCCTCCCTCCCCGCTCCCCCCTCCCGCATGAGCCCTTGATAGTTTATAAATGGGTATTTTTCCACTGGTATTTTAAACCAGGGCAAACGAAAACAAAGCACTTCCATGTGCAGAACAAGGACCTCCGCGTGCATAGTACTGGGCTCAGGGTAAGTGCTTAAAACAGGTGGCTATTCGAGAGGGAATGAAGAATCTATGGGCTCATCATGGGAACAGCTTGGTTCAGATCAACATGGCTTTGAGCATCTACCACTGACCTGGTATGATGCTGGGTGCTGCAGCCTTACCCTTCAAACCTAGTAAGGAAGGCAGAGCCATAAACAGGCCACGTCAGGCCACGGGCAGATGTTTATGAAGTAAGCAGTGAATGCTCTGAGCACACCGGCGAGGGCCCACGCGGGGCTGCGGCAAGGCTTCCATGAACCTGGTGCTTGCTTATGAGTTACCACGCTGCAGCCCAAGAGGTGCAGTCAAAGTCAGCTGGACAATGGCAACACAAAAAGGAGAGAGAGAGAAGGAAGACCTGCCTTAGTTAAGGACAGAGAGATCACCAGGAGCGAGCACTCCCTTGATAATGACGTCATACTTGGCAAAGTAGAGGGTGACCGAAAGAGAGGAAGACTCTCGAGCAGACGGCTTGACACAGTGGGCTCCACAGAGCAACAACTGTGAGGATGGCACCGGTCCGGGCGCTGCGCCCTCCCACTGTGGATGGGTTCGCTAGGCGTCGGAGCTGACTCTACGGCATCATCTCCTTACGGATATACCCTTTGGGGACTCGGATGGAAGCGAAGGCCCCTCTCCTGGGAGAAATACGGCTCACAGAAGATCACACAGAGTCTCAGGGGAGTTCAGGGCACAGCTGTGAGGAGCTGAGTGCCAGAGCCCTGCTTCAGAAAGCAGTGCAGAAGGACAGGGGACTGCAGGAGAAACCACGACTTTCATGACCTCCTTTCTGACACATGGATGTGAAAACAATGGAAGTCATTTAAAATGGCTAGGTTGGGGAATCTTCAGCTTAAAGTTCGGCTGCAAAAGCCCCAAAGGAGTGGAGGATGGGAGGAAGTGGTAGCGAGGGAGGGAGTCACGTAAATGTGCCGGGAGTAGACAGCACTGAGTGCGTCCCTTTGCCACTTCTCCGCGGCTCAGAGCGTGGATGCTCTGCTCACTGCGCTCAGCTCCTGAACTAAGTGCTTCCCAGGAGAAGTCAGCCCGAGTCTTGCTATAAACAGGTGAGCCTGGTCTGGCTACCGCCTTAGTTCATCCAGTGCAGGTGGTGGGTGGGGTGGCACCCCCAGCAGACAACGCTCACCTTGGAGACCCTCCCTCCCCAGAAAAATGCTACTCTGCCTTTCCTGAGGGGCACAAAAATCAAGGGTCTGGTGCCGTTTTTCTATCACTTTCGGGGAGTGTCCTACCTATCCCTTCTATGAACACAGCGAACAAGTCTGTAAGAATATAGCAAGCAAGTCTGCTTCTCTTCTGCCAAGAATTACCTGGAAAGCTGTCAAGGCTGCCAAACTGAACTCCACACGCAGCCTACAGGGTCCCTTGTGGGCACAAGGGCTCCATTTCAGGACCCGGACAGCACCGTATCCGACCAGTAGCATTCTCACCACCCTACCCCCAGCCCTCCCCCGCAAAGCAAGTGAATATCACGACTAACACTGGGTTTGCCTCTAGCCAAGAAAAAAAATATTTTACATCTTTTTCTTATGAACTGTTCCTTAGCCATTTCACATCAGCCTGGACTTATAATAAGTAAATTTTAGGAACCAGCCAACAAAGTATGTACTGCATACTTAGCTTCTGCCTGACCTTTTACTGTACTTAAATCAACCTGGGTATGAACTCCCAAACGTTTCTCTCCAGTCTAGACCTTAGTTTTTTGTAATATTGATCTCGAACATTATTTTATTTACATTTTTTTACTGTGAATTGAGCGAAGGTCTAAAGAACAGATTTTCAGTTTGCCAGGCAATGACTCACACACATTTTGCTTTAGCTCATTCACTACCTGGCCCTCAATGGGCCATCCCCTCTTCCACCACTTCCTCCCTGCGTCCCCGGTTCCATTGCTCCTCCTTTCCTAAGCCTTCCAAACCTCACTCCCGCCGGGGTAGATGCTGCCCTCCTGATTGCCATGGTGGATTAGAGAGGGGTGAGCGCTCCCCTTACGGACCTGTCTACTTCTGGCTGAAAATCGAGCGGCAGGGGTGCGCTCAGTTCCAGCTCTGAAGGGGGACTAGGACCCGAAGCATGAGGCAGTGCCTGATACTGATACCAGTTGCTCTGAAAAGGACACGACGGGCGTGAAAGGACCCGCACTGTGCACTTAGCACGGGCACATGCCTACACTGGAAAGAACAGCAATAGCTACTCTTCTACTTTCGTGTTAATAACTCTTTGCTTCCAAATCGATTATTTCTCCTTTGCCGCTTGGTGCTGCCATGACTAGTACCCGTTTTGCTGCATTTGGCACCCAGGATGCACTTCATGGTAAGATTCTGAGAGAAAATTAAAACAGAGAGATTAAGACTATGACACTCAAGAGACTCGCATCACATGAGATTGGAGGCTGCTACCTTCCAGCTGAAGTATACACTACGATGTGGTGAGTTTACTGTGAAGCAGGAAATGTTCATATTAAATAATGACAGGAAGTACAGTATAGTACCTATGTAAGCCTGTAACATATCTAAGGATGATAAAGACAAACACAGTTTATATATTACTTTATCATTAGACTTTGTACTTTGTCCCTCACTCTGTACAAAGGAAACATCAGATACACACATTGTGTGTTCAGAAGCTGTGTCCACATCCTGACCCACCAAGCCCTGAGGACGATGTTCCTGCTCAGAGCAGCCAATGCACAGAGGCCAGCCCCACGATGAGACACGTGAGGGAGGGAGGGTGGGGAAGGGAGGGAAAAAAATGAGGAGCTGATACTAAGGGCTCAAGTAGAAGGAAAATGCCTCCAAAATTATGATGGCAACATATGTACAAATGTGCTTGACCCAATGGATGGATGTATGGATTGTGATAAGAGTTGTAAGAGCCCCCAATAAAATTATTTAAATTAAAAAAAAAGCTGTGTCCAGTTACATTGCTATGTTCTGTTTTCTGATCAAGATTTCTGAACTCTATTATAACCTATGGGGCCAATAGTATATAAACATTGTCGAAACAAATAATATGTGGAACACGACTATATTAGAATCTCCAGGAAAATAATTCCTAAACAAATTAAGACTGCACTGTGTTTCTGCAGCTTTACCGAGAGTTGTCCCCGTTTTGAAGAAGGAAGACAAACAGTATTTGCATTCACCACACATCGGTTAGCAACACCGATACTAGAATCAGGCCGTCCCGTTGGAAAGTTCAGGGAGATGGATAGAAGATAATGGAAAATTCCCACCAACTGTCTGAAGCCCCTTCACGTATGTAAAGTATATGTTCTACATGCATATCTACAAATATGCTTCACTCTTATTTTGAAATATTAAATATAATATTAATATAATTTCTGTATTTCTTTCTCCTCAGTGTTGATACTTAATTTTTGAAATCATTTTAATGGGAGCTTTTAAAGCTATTATAACAACCCGTAATTCAATTAGATCACGCATAATTGCACAATTGCTGCCACCATCATTCTCATAACGCTTTCTTTCTTCTTGAACTCTTATGACAGGAGAGAGAGATTTCTACTCTGATAAAGATCTATAGTCTTAGAATCCCACGTAGGCAACTCCACCCTGTCCTACAGAGTCATTGTGAGTCAGCATCGAGTGGAGGGCAGTGAGTTTGGAACACTAGCTACTGTTTTGATTCTGGAATTATTATTACTTTTTGGGTGAATAGCTCTGATGTATT